AGGCTTCCCATCATCACTCTGTGGTCTTTGTTTCTGTTCGTCCCCCCATCCTCTCCTTACAGCTTTCTGACTTTACCCCTGGGCTAATGTAGCCCTTGTCATACTGTATGGTCGATTTTTCAATGAAAAATTATTCACTGGTTTCCCCTTGTAGATATGTCTACTGTTTGAAAGTTGTACTGCGATATTCAGTTCCTGCATCAGATTGTCCCCACACACTTTAGGTTGTCCTTCTCTGATGGCCTAGCCCACAGGGAGTTGTGCTGCTAACCCAAAGGCCACGACACTCTGCTGGTTCAAAGCCACTAGCTGCTCTGCAGGAAACGATGGGAGAGCTTCTCCTATACAATTTACAGCCACAGAAACCCAATAAAAGGTCAATGGTGGGCTGATTTCTCCCACATGACAATGAGTTTGTTGTTGTTGTTGTTGTTGTTATGTGCCGTCGAGTCGTTTGCGACTCATAGCGACCCTATGTATAACAGCCCTAAACCCTGCTCTATCCTGTGCCAATCTCATTGCCTCTGACACACCCATCCCAAGTACCCCAGTCACTGAGTCAATCCACCTCATAGAGGGTCTTCCCCTCCTGCGCTGTCCCTCCACTCTGCCCAGCATGATGTCCCTCTCTAAAGACCTGTCTCTCCTTACAACATGTCCAAAGTATGTCAGGTGAAGCCCCAGAATCCTTGCCTCCAAGGAGCAGCCTGGTTTAACCCTCTCTAGGATGAATCTGTTTGTTTTCTTGGCAGTCCATGGTACATTCAATACTCTTCTCCAGCACCACAGCTCAAAGGCGTCAATTCTCCTTCTACCCTCCCTAGTCATTGTCCAACTCTCTGATGCATAACAAGTGATTGCAAAAACCAGGGCCTGTATCAGGCGCACCTTAGTCTCCAGAGAGACATAGTTGCTCTTGAATACTTTAGAGAGGTTCCTAACAACAGACTTTCCCATCGCAATACGTTTTTTGATTTCCTGGCTACTGGTGCCAAGAGTGTTGACCGTGGAGCCGAGCAAACTGAAGCTGTGAACAATCTCAATCTCTTCACCATCCATCCTGATGCTACCGATTGGTCCAGTGGTGAGAATTTTTGTCTTCTTGACATTGAGCCTCAGTCCATACTGAGGGCTGCAGCAGTCCCATGGTACCATTCACTCTCTTATTAGACACTTAAGACAATGGTATGAAGAAGGCAGGGCTGAGGTGGTCTCTTCCATTTTACAGATGAGAGAATGGGTTCCTGGAGAAGCTAAATTCATTGCCCAAGATCACGTGGCTTGAATCCCATTGTTAGTTCAGTAATCTCTTCTACTGCTTTCAACCAGATACATGTCTACCTGAGCTTCATGTCAATAAATAAAATACTAATGTGACATATTTTTATTTCTCCAAAGATCCTATCCATGTACATTCTGAATAAAGTACCACTTTTTAATTGAAAACCAAACCAAACTAAGTCTCAAACTGGACCAAATCCCTTAAATCTTCAGATTTGTTCAACGGTAAGGAGACACTGTGACCCCAGTGTGACCACAGATAGCCGTAGACTCTTGAACCATTGGATCAGAGTGAGGCATGGACATTTGGGGTTGGGATGGGCTCCCAACAGTCTCAGGAGGGCCCCAGGTCAGAAGATAGATATTTATAACCTTGTTGATAAACAATCAAAGTCTACAGTGGTGAACTTGGGACCTACTCACTTACTTACTCTCTCTCTTTATGCATTTTTTTCCTCCCTTCCTGGGAGTTTCCTCAAGCTGCCTAGCTGACAGAATGACGCATGTAGAAGGAGGGGACATGGGTGGAGAAGGCCTGCCTCACTGCTGCTCAGGGCATCGTTGGAGGCTGCCCTGCCTGGAGCATGTGATCACAGTCACTGTGTAGGTAGGCCGTGGGGCGCCTCCTCACCTGAGGCTCGGGTGATGCCTCAGTTAAATGCTCATGAGTCAACCAATAGTCTTGGGAATAGCCTCCCCTATTGTCATCCTTCCCCCATTTTCTGAGTTTTTGCCTGCTTTAAAAATCTTTGTCCCAAGTCATCTTCCATATCTATAATCTGGAGAAGACAAAATAGGCCGCTCTCTCAGCCATGATCAACCAGCTGCGTGACCCCCATTATAACTTGACACCCCACCACCATTGCCATCACGTAGTCCTTGTCATCACTTGTCTGGACATCTGCAGGGGTTGCTTCTGGCCCCTGGCTGGCCCCTCATCTCAGTTGGACCCCTATCTTCACTCTTGGACCTAGAACACTCACTTTTAGAAGCCTATCCCACTTCTTGATTGCATGTTCGATCTATCTCCGACTGTAAAAGTTGGTAGAAATCATCTATTTCTTCTTCTTTGGCTCTGGTTGTTGGTGCATATATCTGAATGATAGTGGTATTCACTGGACTTCCTTGTAAGCGAATGGATATAATTCTGTCACTCACGATGTTGTACTTCAAGATGGATCTAGAAATTACTTTTTTTACGATGAAGGCAACCCCATTTTTCCTTGTCTTTTCATCTCCAGAGTAATATATCATATGGTCATCTGACTCAAAATGCCCCGTGCCAGTCCATCTCATCTCTCCAATGCCGAATATGTCAATATTTATGCGTTCTATTTCTTTCTTAACAATTTCTAATTTTCCTACATTCATGGTTCTCACATTCCAAGTTCCAATCACTAGGGTCTGCTTACAACTGTTCCTCCTCCTTTGTATTTCCATACTTGAAAGTTCTACCTAGGTTGCCCTTTCTGTTAGTCTGCATGTGTTCTGTGTGCATAGGGTTTTCAGAGGCCTGCTATTTCAGAAGTGGGTGGAGAGGATTAAACTAAGCAACTCCTTAGAGGCAAGGATTCTGGGGCTTCGTCTGACATACCTTGGCCATGTTGCCAGGAGGGACGGGTCCTTGGAGAGGGACGTCATGCTTGGGAGGGTGGAGGGACAGTGCAGGAGGGGAAGACTATGAGGTGGACGGATTCAGTGACTGGGGTAATCGGGATGGGTGTGTCGGAGGCAGTGCGATTGGCACAGGATAGAGCAGGGCTTAGGGCTGTTGTGCATAGGGTCGCTATGAGTCGCAAACGACTCGACGGCACATAACAACAACATCCCATTTCACTCATTTTTCTGGTCCCTCTGTCCCACCTTGATTTCTGCGACTCTTAGGCAGTATGACAGCATTTCTTTAGTGCTGGTCTGCCTACTATGTGCGCTCACTCATACCTAACACAGTGATTGGCACAGAGCTGATGTTTGCTGGGTTTGCAGAATTAGCATAACACACTCTTTTGCCAGCAGATTGCTACCTTATACAGGCTATGGGCTCAAGGTCAGTGCTGGGGAAAATCTAGCCCGAGTCTCTTCTGCTTGGTGTCCCCACCTAAGAAGCTTGGCGTGTCCCTGCTACCAACACCATCATCTTTATCAGCCTGTCTTCATTGCCATGGTTTAGTAAGAGCTCACCCTCAGTCCTTGGCTGTGAAGCCCTTCACTGTAGCCACGTCTTTAATCTCCACATCAGCTTTCAGGAGACAATGTGGAGCCCACTAACACTCCAGCACCAAGGTTCACTAATAATGCATGATGCCTTATTCTGAATCTGACCCTGGTTAGAGACAGAAGCAAGGATGGACTGTGGGGCTGGTGACCTTCAGGAGGGATGCTCTGGGATGCAGTAATTTTCCAGTCATTTGGTGTCCCCAGTGATGATCATGGGACAGGTTAGGCTGCCCTCTTCTCAGAATCTGTCTAGGTTGGTCCCACAGTAAGGAGATCGCTCTCTTCAGCATCTAAGTTGGCCCCATAGTGAGGAGGAAGTAATTCCTAAGGGTCTATGGGGTGGGGTCCATGGAAACACATCCCCCCTGGGCCTGTGGTGAGGAGAACATTCTCCTCAGAGTTTGTCTGGTCTGCGCTTGTGGTGAGGAGAACACTATCTTCTAAGGATTTGTCTGGGCGTAGCCTGTGATGAGGAAAACACTCTTTGCTCAGGCTCCAGCTTGCCTTGGTCAGTGGTGAGGAGACCAGTATCTCTTAGGGGTCTATCCGGGTTGAACCTGTGGTAAGGGGAACATGCTTTCTTCAGGACATGTCAGGTCTGGGCCTATGTGGAAGAGACATTTTCTTCTTGGAATTTGGGCTGGGTCTGTGGTGAGGCAGACACTTTCTTAAGTATCTGTCTGGGCTGGGCCTGTGGAGAGGAGAACATTCTCTCCTCAGAGTCTGGACTGGATCCATGATGAGGACTGACTGGCTGGCTGATGACCCCCAGGCAGCCCCAGCTGATTGTTGGAAGAAAGTTCCTCTCAGTAGGGGTCTTCACTATGCCTGCATGTTCCTCTAAGAAATCATCCCTTGGGTTCAGCACCTGGGTTCTCCCCCATGGGTGTCACAGAGAGGCTTCCAAGCAAGCTTGGCCCAAGGTGAGTGAGGGTTAGAGCCCCATTGGTGTTCAGCAAATGGGCCAGCACGACCTCTGGGCCCTGGATCAGCTTATATTTCACCAAGAGACAGGGGAATTGATTAGGCTCATTGCCACAACATGTACCACCACAAAGAGCCCATACCATCACAGCCCTCCCCATGATCCCTCACGGTGGTTCCAGAGTCAGGAGAGGATTGTGGGAATGGGGTCAGGGACTTGATTTTGTGTCTTCACGTGATGCTAGATCACTCAGTGACTCTCCACAGCTGGCTTTTCCTCTCTGTACAACGGGAGGTATTAAAACTTCTACTGAGGCCCCTGGAATATTTGTGTTCTAGTTCTCCTGTTAATTATTCCCTGCTTCCTCCAGATAAGAAGACAGTGGGCCTAATGACCAAGGGTGTTTGGTGGAAAGTTAGTGGCAAGAAACTCAAGTATCTGAATACACTTATGAAGTGTTTAGGTGTTCAAATGTCCCCACAGGCAGCCTCTGACATCGGTGAGAGACAAAATGAGTAGGAAGATGCATCAATGGATTTTATTGACGTTAACTCAGGGAGCACTTGGGGACTGGGGTTTAACAGGGCGTGAGAGTGAGCAGGACATCTTCTCTCACAGTTTGTTCGCTACAGAAGTTGTACCTGTGGAGAAAAGCAAAGGCTTTTTAAGGGTTAGATGTCTTTAGTGAAAACCTTGGTGACTGGATCCATCAATCAATTAACAAAATAAACTGCTGATTTGTAATTTGAGAGGAATGAGGGCAGCACTAGGTTGTAGCTTCAACCAGATCCCGAAGTCCAGCTTCCAGCCTGAGTGCCCACCTGACTGAGGAGTGGTCCCTGCCTGTGGTCCTGTGTCCACTGGGTTGTGAGCCCTTTGAGGGCAGTGACTTCTTGATTCTTTTCAACTTTCACATGTGCATGGTTGATGCTCACGGAAGACAGGCGGGCTCTTTGCTCAGTCACTCTCGAGACCTATTTGAACATTGCTGTTGAGTCACTCTGACTCATATCTATCTACCTGTTAGATTTCAGAGAAGAGCTGTGCTTTGTGGGATTTTTAGAGGCCGCTGTTTTGGAAGACTTGTTTGGGTGGAATCACACCTCCAACCTTATGGTGAAGAGTCAAGTTCATGTACCATCTGCACTACCCACTAAGCCCTTGAACAATATGCTGTTGTTTGTTTTGTTATTTATTGTTGTCGAGCCAGAACCAACTCACAGCTGATCCTTCAGTGGGTTTTCAGAGGCAGTAATTTGCACGGGAAGACACAGCCCATCTTTCTCTCATGGAGCAGCTGGTAGATTCGAGCATTGTATGTTTGGGTAGACAGTAAAGCTCAGATTCTTGCTAGGTCACCAGAGCTCCCTTAAACAATCTAATGGCAACGAAAAATTGCACTTTTACTGTTGTTGGGTCCAACAGAACAAAATGCTGGCTGGGCCTGAGCTCTTACGACCTTCAGGCAACTACGCTAAATGATATCTTTCTAAGAACTTACCTCGTCCTCACTACACAGGTGTGAAGAAGTGCTATTATTATATATGTTACAGGAGAGGAGACTGAGACTCTGAGATGTCACAGTGAATATGTGACTCAGAAAAGAGGACAGGACAAAGTCAAGATGCAATTCTAGGTCTGACACCATAGTCTAAGTTCTCTGCCATGAGCTCATTTTTTTTTTATGAATGAGTTCATATTTTAAATCTTCCTTGGCTTTAGTTTTCAGATGAGCCAGAACCTGGCTTTCTCTTCACTTCCATCCCTTCAGGGATATGGGGTTAGCTCCTTCATGTTTCTGTATTTCAGTGTCTTTATTTGCAGGAGAAGACATGGTTCCCTCTCATGATTATTGAGAATCTAATGACTTAACAAATGTAAAAAAGTTCTATAACTAAAAAAAAACCCGAATGCAGCTGCAGGTGGTATCCTTGATAAAGGGTGTGTCAGTTCCAGATGTCTCTATAAAGAATCCCAGTGTTGAAACCCCAATGGGCATTTTCTGTCCTACAGATTGCTATCAGTCATGGCCAACTCAACAGCAGTGGGTTGGATTTGGCTCTTAGTATCAAAGAGCACTGAAGGTACAGTGGTTAAATACGTGGCTATTAACTGGAAGGCCAAGAGCTCCAGCCCACCAGTGAATCCACTGGAGAATAATGAGACCATCAGCCTCTGTAAAGGTTATGCTAGGAGCAGTTCCAGTCTGTCCTACAAGGTAGCTGTGTGTTGGGACTGACTGGGTGGCAGTGGATTTAGTTTTTCAGAGTGCTAATCTGGTCTTGGCACCCATCTTCATATATTTTGGCTTCCTGTTCTCCTTTTCTGACACTACCTCCTTCTCGTTGCTCTGCTGGGCTGTATTTTCAAAGGTTGCCTCCATGATTTCAGGTTCCTGGGTTTTTCTCAGGGCTCGCCACCTTTGATCTTGGAAGCGCTGCCCTGCTTCCTCACTCCTTTCCACCGGCCACTCTGTCTCTCATTTGCATTTCATTGTTTTTCTCGGAAGCCCCATTCTGACCTTCTTCTCTTGTTCCTCTTCTGTACGTGAAGCCCTGCTGCTTGCAGCCTGGCTTTCCTCCAGGGGTGACGCTCAGTGAGTCAGAGGGGCCTCCAGTACATTCTATTCCATTTCCAGAAATGTTGAGAGGCCACAGCTTTCACTCAGGAACCCTGGGAGGTACAGGCCTCCGGGCACAAATGGTTTACATTCAGTTACTGAAGGGAGCTCAGGTGGCATGGTTCAAATCCAGCAGCTGCTCTGTGGGAGAAAGATGAGCAATATCTCCCTGTGCAACTTAGAGCACTAAAAGCCCACTGAGGGGACAGCTGAGCCGATTCTGACTGAACAGCATGTAACAGCAACTACAGAAAACATTGGCAGTTTTAAATTACCCAGTGGCTGTGCTGTAGGAAAAAAGTCTTGGTGATTTAGTTCTGTAAAAATTACAGACATATTTGATTAGGCATTAGATGTATGACAAGAGTGCAGAATAAGAGGCGCGCTGCAAAGTGGACTGGGGAGGAGGAGGGGAAGAACAAGGAGGGAGGGGGATGGAGGGAGGAGATGGGGAGGAGGAGGGAGGGAATTGGGCAAAAAGGAATGATTTTTTTTTTTGTTTGTTTGTTTTAAAGAAGTGAGCTAGAATAAGGGGAAGGAAAAGGGATGGAGGCACGTTTGCAATAATAAAATAATGAAAATTCAACTTTTCTGTGACCTTTCGCTATGTTGCCGCACATTTTTAAATTGATGACCGTGCTTAGAAACACATTTTTTTCCCCTTCGATGTATTACCGTCATTTGTGGCAATGTGTTAAAACTACAACTAAAATAGAAAAAAAAAATTACAGCCAAGGAAATAATTTGGAACACAGCTCTACCCTGATGCACACGGGGTGCAAATGAGTTAGAACTGATTAGATTATGGTGGCCTTGACATTGGTTCTCCAATGAGAAGACAGAAGAATGGCCTTGGGTATGTGTCTAGCCTGCAGAGGGCCCTCAACTAGTGGGACATCTGTGTTCTTTAATCGAGGTAGAACATTGTGCTCTGACGTGTTTGGAAAACATGGACTGGGCTGGACTCTGTCCCGATTGACTTGCCTAGGGAGGATCTTGAAGAGGTCATCCACCCTGATCAGAGGAGGCTGAGAAGCCAGCTCCAGTGCCACTCTGCTATCCCACTCCAATCAGGAAGGGTCACGTCTCCGAATCTCCCACTGATATCAAGCAGACATTCAGCAGAGATGCTTGACACGCTCTGTCAGCATTTTGCTTGCTTGGCGAGGAAGACAGGGTTTCTATCCCCTTTCCACCCTCTTCCTTCACTGGTACTGATTAAGAAGCACCGACCGCAGAGGGCCTTACATGCTGGGCCTAAAGGCCAGCAGATTGACTATATCATCTGCCCCGCAGGGGAAAGACGGGCAGCCTTCTCCCGGGAAGATTTACTGCCTTCAGAACCTGAAGGGGAGTTGTTATGGGTCGGGAACATCTCAACAGCAGTGGTGTTTTGGTGTAACTACTAGTTACAAGCCAGCAAAGGTACGTACACTGTCTTCTCCTCTCCCTTCTGCACGGTGATCTTGGCTGCACCCACTTTGGGAAGGGTTGGGTTGATCACGTGGTTATTCCAGAGAAACTTGACTTTCTCGATTGTTCCAACATCAAGCTCTGCATCAAACTCAGTGGAGTGGGTTGTGCCTGGCAAGATGACTCCCCTTGAAACAGAGAAACAGAGACATTCCCTTTCATTGCAATAAGGAAAAGGACCATGTGAGGCCACCTGGTCTTTTCTGCTCTGGAGTAACAGATTATTCTTCCAAATTCATTCCCCAGTGAAGCTTGAAGATGTGGAAAAGCCAGCTACGTGCTGGCAGCCTCAAGTTCAGTGTCGTCAAATTTATGCCAGTTTCCCCTGGATACTTTACACAGAAAACCTATAAAATCCTTTCATATTATTTTCTATTTTTTGGAAGAATTATTTCTACAGTAACAAGTTTGCTGCTTTAACCTAACAAGTATGTATTATTTACTTTTTGGAAACTTATTCAACGTGGACGCAGGTGGAAATGGGACACGTACTTGAAGACGTCGAACTGGTGAGTGTTTCCCTTGTTTCCAAACAGAGCAACTTTGATCTGACCGGTGGCTGTTCTCCCGGACACTGTGATGGAAACCCCATATCTCCAGCCTGTAAAAATGACCAAAAGAAGCTTGGTTTATTCCCATATAAAAGAGGTGCTCCAGTCCCAGATTCCTGTTCCCATCTTAACCCTGAGGCATCAAACTAAAAGATACTCTACTTGTTAGTCTACAACCAAAGGCCTTCTGGGAAAACAGATACTCATGGCGGCTTCCTGTGAGGATTCAGTGCATAACATGTTATATTGCTAACTAAAAGTTTCAAGTTCAAATCTACTAGTCAGTCCTCAAGAGAAAGACGGACAATCACCTCTCATAAAGATATGCAGTCTGGGAAACCCAGTGGAGGAAGGGTCACCAGGAATAGAACTGACTTGACAGTGATTTAGTGTCTTTTTCTAAGCCCTGATAGCCCAATGGTTAAGCACTGGACTACTACTTGAAAGGTCATCAGTTCAAACTACAGCACCAGTGTCCCTCTAGGGCTGCGCTGCCCAGTAGAGGGACAACTCGCCACAAGTGGTGATTTACTGCTTCCATGACCTTTGGGGCTTAGATCACCCACCAACAATTTTAGCCTCTCAGACTCCTTGGGAAGCTGGTATCCCAGTTGTAGTCCAACCTACCACCTGGCGGGGACCCATGCAACTGTATGAACCTGAATACGTGGGTCTTAACCCACCAAACTTACCCCTAGAGTCCATATGTGACATATGTGTCCTACACAATTATTACAAAATCCATAGGACCCAAAACAATTCCACCCCCTTACTTTCAGAATGCCTTCTGATACTGAAAACACATGGTAGTATTGAAAATATTCAAAGAAGGAAAAGAGTTCAGTCCCAAAAGGGTTACATTCAAGTTAAATAAAATGCAATATTTAATTCTTTAGTGACACAGTTTTTTTTAGTGACAAAATTGTTTGTCACCTATGACTAGTGGCTACTATAATGGCTAGCACAGGGCATACTTGTCATGGAAGAAACGTGTATTGGACAACTCTGGTCTAAGAGCGAAAGTGGAAAGAAAGGGACCAGGTTGTATCTCCACATTTGGAAATGTAGCTCAGGAGTGTAGTCCAGGACAACAGGACTCACATCTCATTTCTGTACCTCTCCTCTCACTCCCTCACTCACTCTCATTGGCATCCCATCAGAACCAACCCATAGCTGACCCTCCAGTAAGTAGGTTTTCAGAGGCTGTAAATTGCATGAGAGGAGATTTCCCATCTTTTTCCCATACAGTAGCTGGTGGATTTGAACCACTTGCCTTTAGGTTGGAAGCATAGCTCATTATTACTAGGCTGTCAGAGTTCTAGGCCACTAGCACAGAATGGTAGTCAGTCTTCGACTGAGTTCATACCAGGAGTTCTGTTCCTGTGGCCCTGTGTGCATACATGCATGCCCCCCATATCTTTGCACATATATAAACACCCTCATATACATACGAGCATATAAGCATATTGATTCCATAAACATGTGCAATACTTGTGTATTGAAATGAACAAGCCATACCTACACACATTCATATATATACACAAATCTATACACATACATGTCCATGCAACACACAGACACATACCGCAGGGTGAAGGAGTAAGCATCATACAAGAAGGGGTTGTTTAGACCTTGTAATACATTAGCTACATAAATCAATTGTAATTTATGATATAAAACCAGAAAAAATTGTGAGTGATTGAGAAGTCAGTATGATTTGTAAACCTTTACTCATATAAAGATAATAAATGCTAAAATATGCGCACATAAGCACACACACATAAGCATACATACACACACACATACACAGACTCACACACATATACAGCACACTCAGCACGTTCTTGAGACATTGTTTTATCCTCATGCCTGTTCAGAGCCAGGTCCTTGTCCCACAGAGCTTAGCACACCTCTAATTGATTGCTCAGTCTCTGTATTCTCCACTGAATTTTAAGTTTTCTTAGTTCATCCGTGCACCCCTGGTGTCTGGTGTAGCCTGTGGCTCGTAAATAAATGTGAATTGAGGAGTGAATACAGGGATTTGAATGTTTAATTTGTTGTTGTAAAAATATGGGCAGATATTTCATTCAGCCTTACATCAGCGGAAGGATTGATTAATCAATGACGTCTTTCAAGAAATACTATATGATCACTGCATATAGTGATGAAAATATTCTACCTTTAGATGGCGCTAGTGGTTACACAACTATACATTCGTCAAAACGCTAAACAGGGTGAGTTCTGCTATCTATAAATTAAACTTCAATATACCTGCCTTTAAAAATACAAGAACTACACATTCTACTTATATATTCATATAAATAGATACCCCAGGACCAGTCCCAGGTGGCATCAAGCCCGTTGGACTCATGACAACTTCCTGTGTGGCAGAGGAGGACAGGGCTCTGTAGGTCTTCAACAGATAATTTTTTTTGGAAGGAAGTCCTCAGGCCTTTTATCCAAGATGCCACCGAATGAAGGACTCAGACCTCTGGCCTCCTGATTAGCAGCTGAAAGATTAACTGTCTGCACCACCATAAACGGGGCTGGTGAAAAAGTGGCAGCAAGATGCCCTGCCTCCACCCCACATCCTCTTCCATCCAGGTTTTTGAGAGAGGTTGTGCCTGCCTCCTCCCATTCCCACATTCACTCCACCCAGGATAACCCTTGAGTGCTTGCTGTGGAACCATGAAATAGTAGGGGCAGAACCGGGGAGACCGAAAGTAAGCCTTTCAAGAGAACTAGACTTTTGACATTGGGTGAGGGAGAAAACTATTTAAAAGGAATATAAGATTAGGTATTCTTTTCATGACAAAATTACAGAAAATGAAATGCATATTCAAGTGGACTGTGGACTGGGGGAGATTGTATAACAATGAAAGAATTTGTTTTTTCTTCAAAAAGAGAAAAATGATCTGGGGTGGAGGGGTGGGCAGGGAGGAAAATGTGCAACAATAAATGAGTGGGGGAAAATTAAATGGAAAGAATATGCTGCAAAAAATATATGTTTCTTTAAAAAAATCATTAATAAAAAAAATTTGTAAAAAAGAGAACTAGTCTGGTGCCAAATAAATGTTTCCTGAGTAAATAAAAGAACAGGGGTATCAGTGACAGCGTTCAAAAGGAGTAGTCGTTTATGGGGCAGTGAACAGCCAGGAGAGGTGACCCAGACAACATGCAAATTGCCACTACCTCATTCGTTGTGTCATATTCTTGTCCTTGTTTAGTGCTGCTGACTATGGTGGGAGAAAGGAGGACTGTCTGTCTTTACTTGTCTTACAGGACGGTCTGGGTGGGAGTCCTCTGCCCGGATGTATGATATAATGTCCACTGTTGGTTGTTATGTGCTGTTGAGTCAGAACCAATCATAGCAGACCCTCTAGTGGGTTTTTGGAGACTGTAAGTTACAGAGGAGGAGACGGCCTCTTGCAAAGCAGCTGGTGGATTTGAACCACTTGCCTTTGGGTTGGCAGTACAACTCCTCACCACTAACCCACCAAAGCTCCTTTATTTGTCCCTAAGTTACAAAAAGGTCATTTCCTGGGGGCACTGAGTGTCTTCTGATAATCTGAATCGCAAAACCGAAAGAAGTGATGATTGCATAACACAGTGAAAGCCAGGTTGCTAAAATGCACGTGTGAAAATGTGGACACGGCAAGTTTTTTAATTGTGTCCACTTACAAAATAAAAAAATTGAAAAATACACTTCTGACTCTGAGATGTTGTTTTGCCCACTTTTCTAGGATTGGCTAAATGTGTCCTCAAACACTTCAGGCTAAAGGAAAACCTTGCATTTGTAACAGAAGCTCAGCTTTCTCGCTGGTAGAAAGCCCAAGTGGCTACTTACGAGCAAAATTGCTGGATTCTCCCGTGTTCAGGAAGAACTTCTGGGGCTCAGCACTTGTCTTGCCAGCAAACTTATCAGCGTAGTGACCCATCTGCGGGCACCCTTCTTCCGGACAGGGGAAGCACTTGTTCTAGCAGAAGAGACGAGAGGTGAGGTTTTTTTGCCCCATGACCGATGCATTGCAGGACTTGTGGCGGAGCTGGAACCCACTCCCCCTGACCCTCCGGTGGGTTTCCAAGGCTGTAGATAGCAGGAGAGGAGATTACCTATTTTTCTTTCTTGTAGCCACTGGTGGATTTGAACCACCAGAGTGGAGTGGCCTTTGATTTACCATCACAGCTTCCTAAAGACCTTGCCACTCAAGTTTTGTTTTCCTAAAGTCCAGGTCTCCTCATTTATAACAGAAAGGGAATGGGAACCAATAAGCTCTAAATGACCTTCACCCAGAAGAGTGGTCCCCAATTTCCACGCACACTACATTAGAATTATCTGAGGACGGCACAGTGAGTTAACATTCTTCTGCTAACTGAAGGCTTGGAGCCTCGAACCACTTGCTTCTCCACTGGGAGAAAGGTGAAGATGTCTGTTACCGTGATGATTCCCAGGCTCAGAGTCCCTGTGAGGCAGGCCTACTGCTAGGAGTTGGAATCAACTTGACGTCAACCTGGTGTGTGGTGTTTTGTTTTTTTTTTTGGGTTGGGTGGGGTGGGAGGGGTATAAAATACAGAGGAGCTGGTGTCCAGGCCCCAGGTTAGATCAATCACAACTTTCACTTGATGGTGTGCTGGTAAATGTTAAATAATGGGTGCTGGGTGATAGTGTGCTAATAGCAGCATTTATCCGTTTTGTAAATATTCTGAGCATGGCCAATTTTAAGCTACCGCCATAATGTGACTGAGCACAGAGCTGGGAAGTGACGGACTGTACAGGCCAGCTTTAGCCTATTGTTCTTCCTCTCCGCACTCCCATTGCCAGCTTGTAAGACATGCACTCGCAGGTTGGCCTAGCAACCCCAGCATTCACCTTCCGCCCTCTCTGTGCAGCTTCTCTGATAGCGGGCTATCATCCTTCCACTTCTGCTCTGCCCTGGCCAGAAACATGCGGCCTTTTCTTTTCTAAACGCATCACTCTCCAAGCCAGCGTTAAGTGTTGCCTCCTGCAGGAAGCCTTCTGGTTTCTTCCGTGGCCTAGTGCTAAGGAGCTGCACAGCAATCCCAGAGGCACATGCTTCAAATCCACCAGTTGCTTTGTGGGAGAAGGACGGACATTCTCCCCCAGTGCAGTTTACCGCCTCTGAAAACCTTCTGGAGGGTCAGCTATGGATCAGCTCCAACTCAACGCCACACAACAGCCGATTTCTCAGCATCGTCCTCATTTACACGGTCTATACGGAGTTGTAAAGCTTTTGGGAATTTTTGTGCTTTCTTTGGCTCCACTCCACAGGACCATGGAAAAGGAGCCCTGGTGGTTAAGTATCAGTTCAGCAATTTGAACCCACCAGTGACTCCTCCTGAGAGAGATGTGGGAGTCTGCCTCTGTTAAGATTACAGCTTTGGAGAGCCAGGCGGAGCAGTTCACTCTGCCCTATAAAGTTGCTGTGAGAATGGACTCAAAGACTGCCAGCTCCCAGGGCCGTTAATAAGCATGCAGGAGAGAGTCAGGACAAACAACCCAAACACAGCAGGACGGCAGTCCCGGGGGAGAGATGCCCAGAGCACAGACAAGACAAGGGCTTACGGCTTTAAAATCCCTGTAGGAAGCACAAGGGTATGCAGCGAATCCATCCGGGTTCAGAATGCTCTCTGAGTAGTACTTGTAGCTTCTTAGGTGATTGCAAGCCACAAAGTCCCGGGTTCCTGGGGAGGCAAGTCAGAAGGTTGGCGAGGGAGAGAAAGGGCTGTGGCAGCTGCTCTGGGGCTCACTCCACGGGGCATGGGATGGTGTCACAGAGGGACTTTGTTCTCAGGTTGGTGGTTTGCACCTAACCAAGGAACCTTGGGAGGCAAGCGTGGCTATCTGCCCCATCATGCACCAGGCCCATCATCCTCACCGCCAGTCCATGTCACTGAAGGTCTTCCTCAATTTCTCTGCCCTCTACCTACTTTTCCAAGCATGATGTAACTACTAATTAGTTGTTGGAAAACACCAGTTTTGCAATTCTTTTAAAATTGGACAGTCAACAACACCCAAATTAATATTTTCAGGAAGTTATAAAATCAAGGAAACTGAAATACAACAAATAATGTACATCTACATTTTCCAGAAATAAAGTCCAACAGAAGGAATTAAGTATGTCTAAAAGGAGAGGCCCTTATTACAGAAGTCCAGAGTGAAGGCTGCACAGTGGAGTGAACTTGGGGGGAGGGACTGCATAACAATGAAAGAGTTTTTCTTTTTCTTTTCAAGGAGAAGAGTGATTTGGAGGGTAGGGGGTGGGCAGGGAGAAAAGTGCAACAATGAATGACTGGAAATTCTAAGTAAATTTTCATTAAAATGAATAACTTTTTTAAAAAAGGAGAGGCCCTTTTTGTTTTTGAGATCAGCAGTGGAAGGACACCCCTGCCTGTGGGTTACCTGCCCAGATGCCATCTAGATCCACGATCTGCGACAGGGCATTCTTCTTGCATCCTGGCATGTTCTCCCCTCCGTTGGGGTAAAAGTCAATGTGGCCCACCTGCTGGTTTGTTCCAAAACCTGAATCATTTGAAACAGCAGTGAACCAATCGGAATCTGGGATCTCGTAGGTAAAAGACAGATGCAGAAGTTCGCAGCCCTGGTGTTTGGGGCTGGAAGTGAGGGGTAGGATGGGGTACAGTGGAGAGGGGGCTCACCCAAGAACGGGATCAAGGGAGATCCATCTGTGTGAATCACATCGACGAAGAGTGCATCGGAGGGGTCCAGGCGAACCTCTTCAGGAGTGCCCTCGAAACTGGCTTCTACGGGATCCAATGCTGAAAGAGAAGGTTAGTGCTGGGAGCAGTGGGCTTGACTAGAGGCCTACGCTGGACCAAGGTGCACAGCTGTTCGGGGTGTGCACCGTTCAACTGAAAGAACTGCCATACACTAGAGTTACGTGGTGCCTGGACTTGGCCCTGGGTGTTGAAAATGAAGACATGTCATCTCACTGCTGCTTATAACAAGTGGCTAGAGAGGGGCAGATGGTCAAGGAAACTCAGATTTGCTCTTTCCATATCAGAGTTCCTACTGCATTATATTTCTTCTTGAAAATTCTCTTTTTATCCCCAAGTTTGGAGGAAAAAATCCAAAAGAGGTGAAACAGTATGGTGTCACAGGTAAGAGCATAGACTCCAGGGCTAAACGGCTGGGCTTCACAGCCCCACTCATGTGTTACCTGGGCAAGTCCATGTCCCTGGGTGAGTCACTGCACCGTTCTGTGCCTCAGTTTCCCCATTTTTAAGGTGGGGAAATAATAGCACCTAGGTTATGCAGTACCTGGGGTAATGGAGGTAGGTGTGTCAGAGTCAGGGAGACTGGCTCAGGATAGGACAGGGTACAGAGAGCTATCATCCACAGGGTTGCTCTGAGCTATAGGTGACTCGATAGCACATTACCATAGCAACAGTTTATCCACCTGTTACAGGATTAAGTGACTTCATGTAAGTAGGATCCAATACAGTGTCTGATAAATAGTCAGGGCATATAAGTAAAAATGTGAAGTATTATTGCTTTCTCTTGACCATGTTTTCTTCTTGATAGGGACCCTGCATTTGTCATTAGTTCTTCGAAAGAACTTTTGGAGCAGCTAAAACCCGAAGCGTCCTTGTCAAAGGTGAATGCTACTTGAGCCGAGAGTCAGCAGGGCTGGGTTTGAGTTTCAGTTCCAAGGCACAAGTGATCTCTGGCAAGACACTTGCTCTCCTGCACCTCGAAGTCTTTAACTTTAAGGATTAAATGAGGGTGTTGGGGCGGGCAAGGCGGGGTGATGAATGCAAATCACTTGCATGTTTAAAATGAGTCACTCAAAACTCAAACTCATTGGCGGCGAGTTTGAACTGTCTCACAGCTGACTCTGCAGTGGGTTTTTGGAGGCTATGAATCACACAGGATGAGATTTCTCTCTTGGAGTTGCTGGTTGATTCGAACCTCCAGGGAGAGGTCACCTCTCTCTCTGGACAACTCCCTGTGGACTAAGATACAGGGTTGCTGTTGTGGAGGGTCATTGAGTCGAGTATGACTCATAGTGACTCTATGGACAACAGATCTGAACCCTGAACCCTGTCCTATCCGGTGCCATCCTCATCTCTGACGCATGAGCCCATTGCTTCAGTCACTGTGCCAATCCATCTCATTGAGGGTCTTCCTCTCTTTTGCCGACCCTCCACCTTTTCAAGCATGATGTCCCTCTCCAAGGACTAGCCTCTCCGAGCAGTACACCCAAAGTATGAGAGATAAAGCTTCACAATGCCTCCAAGGAACACTCTGGCTGGACCTTCTCCACCACTTATTCCAAGGCTACTGGGGTTGATGCTTAACACACACTGGTATAATAATATTGCGACTATTAGGATGTTATATGCCTGTGTTTTGTAGTTATAATGGAAAGCTTTGTCTGGGGTGGTGGTTGGGTTTCCCCCACCAGCAGAGGCAACAAGAAATATTTATCTGGTTCTATTTTCAGAAAGAAGCGGAAGAAGATGTGGGACAGAAAATCTGCTCCTTTTTCTCTTTTCTCACAAGCCTTGGCTTGTGTTATCCTGAGGACTCACTCCTGGGCGCCTACTTGTGCTGAGGGGCCCAGACTGCTGGGAAGCATGAACTCAGAGAGATGAGAGGCCGGGATAGAGACAGAAGATGCAAAGGGAACAAAGCCACCACCTGCTCCCCACCATGAAGACAGACCATGAGCTTCTCGGAGGCTTTTTAAACTGTCCGATGTATCTGTTACATAGCTGAGGGGCATCACTTTCAGGGAAGCTTCCTCTTGGCCAGTGTCTTATTATCACTGCCCTCACCCCCAGGGGTCACCTGTCCCTCTGCCTTACCCGTAATCCTGCCCAGGCCCGGGGTCCTGCTGCCAGCCTCTCCGGCCACGTGAGCTCCCAGGCTGTGGCCAATGAGATGGACTTCAGAAGGCGAGTAGTTGTAGTTGGTCTGGAGAGGGGAGATTAAATCTTAATGACATTTTGTGCCATGATGTGTTTTTTCTTCTTTTGATTTGCAGATCTCATGGTATCCCCCTCAGGTATAAACCTTCCAAAGCTCCCACTGTTCTCAGCATCCAACCTAAACTCACAGCCTTTTTCTGATTCAACACCTATGCTTCTAGATTGCTTATTGAACTTGGTTGAACTTCCAGTCCCCCAAACAGGAAGGTTGCATTCTCTCACTGCTGTATTTTTTCATTGTCTATCTCTAGGGAGTATAGAAGGAGAATTGATGTCTTTGAGCTGTGGTGTTGGAGAAGAGTATT